TCCGAAAGAAATTTTCCACTCTTCAAATGAAGTTCTCTTCTTCATGAACGATGTTCCCACAAGTGTTTACAACAACATATCCAACAATGGGAGCCATCTGATCAGTATATCATTTTCTGAGTGCTAAGCACTAAAGCTTGTTCAAAGGGATGTCGTTAGTGACAATCAGTGTGTCTGAGAGAGCAATCGGACTCGCTTCCCTTATCTAATGAAGTCGACTCCGTCATGAGAGTTGTTCCCCCTGATGTCTAGTATAACATATCCAAAAATGGGAGCATTTGGATAAGTGCAGTCTTCTCAAATTCATGTCCGAAGATCCAGTTCAAAGGGCTCTTCAATATCAGTCAGCTACAGTCATATGAATTCTGTCCGATGAGGGCCTTAGAGTGTCCGAATGAGTGGACCAATCAGACGGGGAGAGAAGGAATAATATATATATATATATATGAAATCACTTAACAAATTCATGTCAAGTGGTTGCTTTCTTTTGATTTCTTTTATCTGCACATGGGAATAAACATCCACTTGGTGATGGACATCATGACAGAGTTGGATTAAACAATGAAGATGGAGCTGCTTCCTCTATAAATGGAGAAGCCGTGAGTAGCATAGGACACACACTATTGGTTTGCTGGCTTAAGGATGCGGAAATAGGAAGTCTGGAGCAGAAGGGACCCGTCGTTAGTTCTGGAAATGACCGTTCGCCCAAACCCGAGAGCAACGAGTTAGTCCCTGTGCAAAGCGACCCGTCGCTTTGCTAAAAAACGACCGGTCACTGCGTCCTCATGTTAGCATATTAAATTTAAACAAAAAATTTATAATATGTTCATACCTTTCTTATATGTAATATGGGGACTAAAAATTGAGGATTTGTTGCAGCCTTTTTTTTATTGAAGATTTAATATGGGACAAAAAAATTGAGGATTTATTTAATATGAAAATTTATGATTTGTTGGAAGAAGAAGCCACCAAATCAAAGTCCTTAAATGTAGATATTGAGAGGGGAAAGAAGCTAAGAGATGATCTATGTAAAGTGGTCCTTAACAAAAATAAATAAATTAAGTGAGCCATGCTTGGAGCTGGTTCGGGCCAAACACGGCCCATATCGAGCAGTAGGCCGACCCGGTCTATTGAGCTTAATTTCTAATCCCACAAGAGAAAACCTTTAATCAACCCAATTTAGGGTTTGTTTTATTAATCCAAGTTGTGGAATCTTAAGGAACCACCCCACCCCTGTATATATCATCAGCTTATAGTATAGGGATTATGAACACATTTTTTATTCATTATTTCTCTCAAATATTATATATTTATAATTGAAGTTTCGGTCTATCCATTGCAAATGAAGACAAAGCAAAGTTTAATTTCCAAGATAAGTACTAGTATTTATTTAAGGCTTAAGTGCTACAGTACCCCCTGAAACATTTGTCAATTCCCACTCGAACATAAATAATAATAATAAACAAAAAAAAATAAGCTTTTCAATTTCACTCGTAACTCTCTTTGCCATGTAAATTGCAAAAGGGCCAATTCTAAGGACCAAAGTCATGAATTTTACCAACCACACTCACTTCAAACCATTACGCGGCTGCCTAATCTTCATAATAACTATTATTCATCTAATAATTACAATGTCCACTTATTATGTGAATTAAGGCCATTTTTGAAACTGGTTTTGAAAAGGCTTGACTTGCGAGGTCTCATCGTCTTAGGTTTGAACTCCATGGCATTTTGGTTGTGTGTGTTCCCCTTTAGTTTAAACTATCGCTTATGTTCAACAAAAAATAATAATTTTGAAAGAGTTAAAAATGTTTAAATTAATGTATTATATATACTTTTTGTTCTTTATTTCAAACGTGCATATGAAACCAGGCCTCGGCAATTTCTATTTAATTTGTAGTACTTCGTTGAAACTTAGTCAACAACTCATAGGCTAATTAAAAGATACTCGGCTACTTAAGCTTTTCAGCCATTCTAACCCTAATCTTCATAAGTTAAATAGTATTATATTGTCGAGAGTCCAAGAATGCAATAAACCCCTCACTATTGTCTTCAATTCACAATATACAAATCAATGTTCCGTGTCTCCATTGTTAGAGCCGAAAGTAGGTTCAAGGTCTCTAATACAAACTCATGACTGTGGGATATGGGTAACCACCACCAAGAAACAAAAAACCAAAGAAAAATAAAAATTCTAAACTTTGGCAACTTTTAAGTAATCCTTGCAGGACTTACAGATGCTTGTAACTTTTATGGACCTCTTAGGAAATGCTCTGTATCATCAATGAAAAAGAAACTCAACTCTATCCGGTTGTCTGCAACAATTCCTTGATATTGTACCCTTGTAGTTGTCACAAACAACAAGCAGGATCGGTTTTAGTAAATCCACACTGAAACAAATGATTGTTGAGAAAGATTATACATGGTCATAACTTCAATACTCGGACATCATCATGTTTATATGAAGGAAGGTCAGAAGCAATATCACTCCTGAGTTCCAGAGAGCATGTATTGTGATGGGGGTTAAAAGGTTGCGAGTTTGAGCATATGACAATCCCACAGCAGAGCCTATATAGATCATATAGTACATGAGATAAATTGTGCTCGAGGATATCTAAACCACATTAATGTATGTTGAAGGTGATGTAGACTTTTTTTTTAAAATTTTTTTAAGTAAACATGTTACCTAGCACAAACAACTGGGAAACTCTCCCGGAGTGAGATGTGCAAGTGCAAATACAACTGCACTTATTCCAATAGCAACTGGAGTAGGTACCCTGCAAAAAGGACTTGTAAGGACTAGATACCCAGGAATGAACAGTTGACACCAATAACATAACTAACTATACTAAAACTAGCTAAAGCCAAGGAATTTTAATCCCATCCTTAGCCAACTCAACAAAACCTTATATCAAATATTTGGATGATTCTACTATTTTTACTACATAAGTGCCACAAAAACAGTTTCTTCTACCATATATTTTTGTACACTTCTTCAGGCTTCACTCTTGTTTGTAGAATTTTGTGAATCTGGCTAATTAATTAAGCAAAGCAATTTTAGGAGTGAACCAAACAATGTCACCTGGGTGGCAGATTACTAGTTAATCCAGCCTCCACTTTCCAACACACTAGTTTAAACTTCTGAAAATTGATAACAAAATCTATGGACAGAAATTATTGAGAAAACTTTCGAAATAATTGTAGGGAAGTTTAGGGAAGCTACCATGCATGTTTAGAGAAATGTAGAGAGAAATAATCAATCATTGTAGGCATATTATGCAACTCCATAAAAGGGAAAACAGGGAAAAATACCACTGAGTCATGGAGAACATAAAAAAAAACCCCGAAATACAGTTTCCTCAAGAATCGGAGCCAAAACTCCAGTGACACCCAACAAGCAAGCAGTGCTGCAATGTAGATTTAACAACAGCTGAATCAACTTGCTGAATCCTCAAGTCCTAGTGCTGAAAAGTTTCAACACCTAAGCCTATGAATACTATAATTCCCAGAACATGCACAAAAATGAAAAGACCTGGTAAAGTGCCTGACACTTGAAGATCCAATCAGTGGAAACAAGCTAACTAGAGCGTCCTCCTGAAACCAAGTAAAAATTAATAAAAATCACATATATGATTCCTTACATGGTGGAATAAAAATCACAGTTTCTTCTTACATAGAATTTGTGTCCACTGCACTTTATAACGAGAGAGAAATCATAGGTAGGAATCAATTCAAACCTCTCTCTCTAGGCTCTCCCCCTTGAACAAGGACGCGGCAGCCCCTGTCACTGCATGTAGTTATAATGACCAATCTCTGCCCACAAAAGCCACCCCTTCTGTAGACTGAAAGGGTCCTTCAAATCTAAAACAGCAATAGCTAATATTAGCTCGATGGGTCACAGTCTAGATATAGGCTTAAACAAACCAGAATCTGGCAATAATGGGCTTTCAAATCAAAATTTTGCGACTATATGGTAAAAGTTTGTATCTGCTTAATGACAAAGCATGTAGTTATAATGACCTACTAGCCAAATTCAAATATCCTTAATTCAGTATTGTGCATCAATCGCAGTCCATATATAAGCTACAAAAAGTGTTATCTCATTGAGACAACTACCAGAAAACGGGATGACATGAACCCTTTCTCACCTCTGTGTGTGTGTGTGTGTGTGTGTTTGTGTCTCTGTTGTCTTACTATAAAGTAAAAAAGGAGTTGGAAAAATCAGTACCATAGCGATAAATGTCTTGAGGTAACGGTTGGAAAGTGCTGGCAACAGTATACAGAACTGCAAGTACAGCTGCAGTTGTAATACTAGCAAAACAATAACTGAATCAATTAGACCCTCATAAAATTATCATTCCAACACACAGCATTACAAGTAGAATTACAATGTGATAATACATACCTTTGATCAAGAAACAGTATCTCTGCCTTTTGTCACGAGTCGCACATAGACAAGTGCTACCATGACTCCGTTGGGACATCTATGCGCTTAAAAGGTAGTTTAAGTGTGGAAGGGCGAGAGCTTAAGAGCTAGAATGATTGGTGTTGGCTGGGTTGCACTTATGAAGGGTATTTTAGGTATTTCTAAAGGTTACGGGAGGACCCTGAAGAAGCTAAAAATACGGGGATGTTCGTGATATTGAGACGTAGGTAACGCAACTGACGGTTCGCCATTCGGAGTTCATATGAGGGAGTTATGCCCAATTATGACTCATCGTGCATAGGTGATGTTCCCTCCTGGCAGAAGGCTAAATGCATAAAATTCTATATAGGGGGTGACATGGTGTCATGCTCTCCACCACCCCTGGTGCTTACACCCTTGTGGCACTAAGCGAGCATCCTTATGACATTGAAGGTAGTCATAAGGGCGGGCATAAGATTGTTGAAGGATAATCTGTGTCTCCGAGGGAAAGGAATTCCCGAGGACAGTACGAACACGCGGAGCCGTTCGTATTGCGCATCGTTGTAAAGAGTGAGGTCAACGTATGACATTCGCTATGCCATCGGCTAGAGAGGCATTTGACAATACTCGATGGACTTGGCTTGGGTTCGGCCTTGTCCAAGATGAAAGGAAGATATTCGGATGCCGGTACGCATGGGTGCGATCCCATGCAATGCATAGATGGTTATGTGGGACATTCGGAAAACATATGTCGCCAAGGCTTAGGCGACATGCAAGTATGACAGCTTGCGTGTATAGCTTGAGGATGTGGGCTATCGTGGACGCTAAATGAATGACCGACAGAAGTGTGGGTAAACCGATGGTGTGTTGGATCGCTATGTCTTGACTTGGACATGAGCGAGCCATGAGTTAAGCATGTGACGTGGTCGATGCAGTTGACGTGTCTTATGCAACGCTTGATGTATGGGCGTCGATGGTTCGTTGCCGGATGCGGAGTGATTGTATTGTCACAAGGTAATGTGACTCGTTGTCTAGTGGGAGACGACACTTGAAGGGGAACCTCTCGCGGAGTTGTGAGAGTCATGAATATCATGAAGTGGGAGAAGGCTGACTGGGATCTGAAGGGATCCTGGGCCTCACAGGTGTGCTTTGAGTGGCGAAATTTGTGTTTCGCTTCTGCCGCACCGCGCCGCTCGCTCATCCCGTGACACTTTTCATCTATACTCAAATCTTGAACTCAAAGTCCTAAAGACGGTATAGCTGCTGTCTCTACCACTCCTGTCAAAACAAAATGGTCCGGGAAAAAAATTAATCTTATTCTTCTGAATTGTGAAATAACGTCCAACATTAAACATAGTTATATGACGATTGGCAGACTAAATACACTACTACATTTTACAATTTGCGCGACGAATAGAACTTCGTCTCGCAAAGTACATTTTAGTCGCACAAATTTAAGAGCGACAGAAACTTTATCGCACAAAGATCGTAAAGAAAGACTTTGCTCGAAAGAAAAGTATTGGTTGTGCAAAGTTTTGCGCGACGAAAAGTATTGGTTGCACAAACTTTTGAGCGATGAAAAGTATTGGTTGCACAAAGTCTAAAAAAAATTATAAAAAATTAAAAAATTCCCGCGTCCCATTTTTGGTACCCACCCAAATTTTTCGAGTTTTGCGCGACGAAATATTTTTTGTGTCTTAAAATTTTTTAATTAAAATAACCTAATTTCATAGTTTGTCGCGCAAGGTTTTTGACTTTTTGTTTTATTTCTTTAATATTAATTTATTCGAATGTTTACTTTTTAAAATTAATTTAATTGTATGATTTTTTTAATGACTTTAATTTAATTATATTAATTTTTTTGAATTTTTACTTTTTAAATTTAATTTAATTGTATATTTTTTTTAATTACTTTAATTTAAATTAACTTATTCAAAATAAAATTACATATGAAAAATAGTGATCAAATTATTCAATAAATATATATAATATTGAAAATGTACACATAAATTAACAAATTGCAATAATAAAATCCTAATACAAGCCTATTATGGTGGTAGTGGCGGAGGATATGTTTCGATAGCATACTAATCCTCAACTTTAGCCGTCAAAGTCTCGACGATTCCCTACAAAAAACAAATATGGTCAAGTAACAAAAAAGGAAAAGAAAAATGTGGCATAATCTCCCCTAAAATTGTTATACCACAAATCCAACCCAAACTCCAATTCTCAACCTATACTCAACCCCAAAGCCCACACAAACTCAAAACTAACTCCAGAAACACATATTAATGAAAAAATTTAAAATTAGGAGAGAATATACCTTTTGGCAAGATTGAGAGTGAGTGAGAATGAGAGGGAGAAGTGAGTATGAGAGAATTAGAGAAGATAGTGAGAGAGAGATGAGAGAGTGAGTGAGAGTGAGAGTGAGAGATAAGAGAGTGAGTGAGAGTGAGAGATAGTGAAGAGAGAGAAGAGAGATTAAGTGAGAGGAGTGAGTGTGAGAGAAAGGGGGAGATTTGGGGAAAGGGAAAGAGAGAAGAGAGGTAAGAGTAGAGAAAGACATTGAGAAAATGATGGAGGAGTTATTTTAGTTTTAAAAACTGTATCACTTTGTGCGACGAAAAATATTGGTTGTGCAAAGTTTTGCGCGACGAAAAATACTGTTGGTCGCTCAAAGTTTTATGCGACCAAAAATATTGAAAAATTGGTCGCGCAAAATTTTGTGCGAAGAAAAATATTGGAATATTGGTCGGCAAAGTCTAAAAAAAATTCCTGTGTCCCCATTTTTCGTATCTGCCCAAATTTTTAAAGTTTTGCGCGACGAAAAATATTGGAAAATTGGTTGCGTAAAAAAATTATAAAAAAAATTCCCCGCGTACCATTTTCGATACCCGCCCAAATTTTTGAATTTTTGTGCGATGAAAATTATAAATTGGTCGCGCAAAGTCTAAAATTTTAAAATAAAATAAAATAAAATTTCCCGCGTCCATTTTTGTTACCCGCCCAAATTTTTAGATTTTTGCAAGACGAACTGTTGGTCCCGCAAACTTTTGAGAGACGAAAAATTGGTTCGTAGCACAATATTATAAAATAATTGTTATGAATAATAAAAATAAATAAAATTATTTATTTTATGATTTAAAATAAAATATAAGGTTAAGGCTACTTAATAAATATATAATACTATTCAATTTCTTAAGTGTTATACATACAAATAAATAAATTTAAAGCTACTTAATAAATATATATATATATATACACACACCATTCAACGATCCAACCGTCAAACTTGTTTGTATATACTTCAAGATTGTATACACCAAAATCGCAAAAAACAAACATTCAGAGATCTAGTAACGAGACAAAACTTTTCGACGGTATAAATGAAAAACCATGATTTAACGGTTATTTTAACTCCGATTTTGATGATTTTTTACAGCTACACTCCTTGACCCTATATGAATACAATGACTCAATTGATCTTCAATTTAAAATATTTACACTAGTGGATACCACAAAATCTTATGTTATATTTAACAAAAGTATAAATAAACTCTAATTGTTAGTGAATATAATGTTTTGATGGCATATGCATTCTACAAAACTAGTTTCAACGATCCAACCGTCAAACTTGTTTGTTTATACTTCGAGATCATATACGCCAAAAATCGAAAAAAATAAACATTCAGAGATCAAGTAACATGACAAAACTTTTCGACGGTTATAAATGAAAATTCACGATTTAACGGTTATTTTAACTTCGATTTCGATGATTTTTACAGCTACACTCCTTGACCCTATATGAATACAATAACTGAATTTGATCTTCAATTTAAAATATTTACACTAGTGGATACTACAAAATCTTATGTTATATTTAACGGAAGTATAAATAAACTCTTAATTGTTAGTGAATATATTATTTTGATTGCATACGCATTCTACGAAACTAGTTTCAACGATCCAACCGTCAAACTTGTTTGTTTATACTTCGAGATCATATGCGCCAAAAATCGGAAAAAATAAAAATTTAGAGATCAAGTAACAGGACAAAACTTTTCGACGGTTATAAATGAAAAATCATGATTTAACGGTTATTTTAACTCTGATTTTGATGATTTTTTACAGCTACACTCCTTGACCCTATATGAATACAATGACTGAATTTGATCTTCAATTTAAAATATTTACACTAGTGGATACCACAAAATCTTATGTTATATTTAACGAAAGTATAAATGAACTCTTAATTGTTAGTGAATATAATGTTTTGATGGCATATGCATTCTACAAAACTAATTTCAACGATCCAACCGTCAAACTTGTTTGTTTATACTTCGAGATCATATACGCCAAAAATCGAAAAAAATAAACATTCAGAGATCAAATAACAGGACAAAACTTTTCGACGGTTATAAATGAAAAATCAAGATTTAACGGTTATTTTAACTTCGATTTCGATGATTTTTATAGCTACACTCCTTGACCCTGTATGAATACAATAACTGAATTTGATCTTCAATTTAAAATATTTACACTAGTGGATACTACAAAATCTTATGTTATATTTAACGGAAGTATAAATAAACTCTTAATTGTTAGTGAATATATTATTTTGATTGCATACGCATTCTATGAAACTAGTTTCAACGATCCAATCGTCAAACTTGTTTGTTTATACTTCGAGATCATATGCGCCAAAATCGGAAAAAATAAACATTCAGAAATTAAGTAACAGGACAAAACTTTTCGACGGTTATAAATGAAAAATCATGATTTAACGGTTATTTTAACTCTGATTTTGATGATTTTTTACAGCTACACTCCTTGACCCTATATGAATACAATGACTGAATTTGATCTTCAATTTAAAGTATTTACACTAGTGGATCCCACATAATCTTATGTTATATTTAACGAAAGTATAAATAAACTCTTAATTGTTAGTGAACATATTGTTTTGATGGCATACGCATTCTATGAAACTAGTTTTAACGATCCAACCGTCAAACTTGTTTGTTTATACTTCGAGATTATATACGCCAATAATCGGAAAAAATAAACATTCGGAGATCAAGTAACAGGACAAATATTTTAGACTGTTATAAATGAAAAATCACGATTTAACGGTTATTTTAACTCCGATTTTGATGATTTTTTACAGCTACAATCCTTGACCCTATATGAATACAATGAACTAATTTGATCGTCAATTTAAAATATATATTTTCTAGCAAAAACCCAATCCGAACTACAATAATATATTTTTCGAACAAAAATCCGATCCGATCTAAAATAATAATTTAAAGCTACTTAATAAATATATATATATACCGTTTAATTTCTTAAGTGTTATGCATACAAAATAAAAAACAAAATAAATTGGTTTAGGCGACGAAATGTTTGGATTACGTCATGCAAAGATTTTTAAAATAATTTTTTTATTTTATTTATTTTTGTAAAGACTTTGCGCGACGAACTTTATTGTTTCGTCGCGCAAAGTCACTTTGAGCGACGATGTATTGTCGCCGTGCAAAAGTTTTTTCGCGCAACGAATTGTTTTTGGTCGCGCAAGACTTTGAGCGACGAAGTTTTGAGTTTCGTCGCGCAAATGACTTTGAGCGACGAATAATTTTTTGTTGCACAAAATTTGCTTGCGCAAGGGTTGTGAACTGTGATGGGTGGTTGGTGGTAATTCAGAGCTAAGGTTGTGAACTGTGAATAAGTTTAATTTTCAAATCTTGTTCTTCGCATCAAACTTTGATGACTGCAGCTTGGGGTTTAGACCAAATCTTCTACTTCATTCTTCAAATATGCAAAAGAAACTAA